CCAAAGCCCCGCCCCGCGGCGTGGGGGGACCAACCCGGCAGCACCCCAGCTGCTCTATTGCAGGCATCCCCGATTCAGCTGCTGCTGAAACTGATCAGCAGCGGCTGAATCAGGGACGCCTGGGGCAGAGCTGGACTATCGTAAGGGGGGGCTATGAGGGGTCCGGGGTGGCATCCCCTCCCACCCCACTCCAGACCCCTCATAGCTCCCCCTTCTGATAGTCCGGCATATCTGATAATCCAGCATCCCCTGGGTCCTAAAGGTGCCAGATTATCGGAAGTTTACCGTATATGAAAAAATCAGTCTAGTTTGTAAGTGGGTCAAGGAATTACAAAACCACTAGCCCTAGTTGGTTCAACTGTAGCCACTTTATCCATCCATCAACCTATATACAAAAGTCCTGGTGTTAAGACATGAATAGTTTTTAAAATGTGTGGGTTCCATATTTTCCATGATTTGTGTTGAGACTACATACTCATTAGTGTTTAATATGATAATATTTTTGCTTTAATTGAGTCTGTCTTGTTGCCGCTCACTTTTTTTGTTTGATTCCCTTTTTGTGACTTTCTGATTTAGTCAAATTGGAAATTATACCAATACCAAAGCCTTACACTGGGGCAGCTGGTTTTAAATTGTGTTTTCTGTCCAACCATGTCTATGGAAAGCCTGTTCTGATTAATGGAATGTTAGGATAAGATGACTAGCTTCATCGACGGGTAGTTATTATGGGATGTAATTAAAGATTTAGCCATTTAATAACTAAACTTCAAAATGGAGCAACTTCAAATCTGTGCTGTTCTAATTACAGAACATGAAGGCTTGATAATATTGGCAGTTTTTTCACAACTGAAAGGTCTAGATGCTTTTTAAAATGGGAATAGCCTCTTTGGGGTTCCATGTTCAGTGTGGCTCAGTGATTTCCACATCATGTTTGCTTAGGCTTTGTCTACACTAAGAGTGTAGGACAAATTTAGCCACATAAGGTTGATTTTTATAAACAATGAGTCTACTCTTCTAAGCCTGTTCCATTGACTTGAAAGGCGACTGAAGTCCATTTCAGGACTGCAGCTTTTCACAAGGAGTAATACAAAGTTTGACTTTGCATGGTTTAATTTACGGTAGTGTAGACCCAGTGTTGCAAAAGTCAACGTTCTTGGCCTCTGGGAGGCATACCATGGTGCCCTGAACTCTGGCCAGAACTTGCAACTCTACTGCTCTCCAAGTGAACAATAAAGCCCCCAGACAGTTTGAATTTCATTTCTTGTGTGGCCAGTGTTGTGAGCAGGCAGCACATGTGGCCATGAATTCCCTGAGCTCCAGTTCCCAACGGTGCAGAAAAGCACCAGCATGGAGTGCAAAGGAGACCTTGGACCTCATTGAGGCATGAGGAGAAGAATCCATTCTTGTGGAGCTACAAACCAGCAACTGAAATGCTGATATCTATGTGAAGATTGCAAAGCCCATG